TTGTGTGATTAAGAAAATCTCAGGAACAGTTATTTATGTTTATTTATAATATTTAAAGGAAAAAGCATGAGAAGTAGAATGAATCTTTCACTCCTCAATTACTATTAACACCAAATATAATAAAAACCTGGGAAATAAAAAAGAGGAGAGAAGGAAAAGTTGGAAAAATCTCCACCTTTGAAAAGGAACTGAACTAGAATGACGATTTCTTCAATAAGCTAAGAAAACTTCCAGAAGCTGTTAAAAGTTTAAGTATTATGCATAAAGTTACAGAGAACCAATGTATATAAGACAGAAAAAAATAAACGGAAATGAGTTTTTCTTATCCCATACCTGATAGCAGCAATTCCATATTGCTGTTTGTAAGTGTTGCATTTACTCTTCCGGAAGTTGCATTGAAACTGGTGACTGTTAAAGTCATGGGTTGTTTCTTGCTTTTGTAATTGTAAGATCCTTTCCATATATAATTTTGGGCAAAGACATCATCAGGAACTGTATAGACATGAAGCATGTTTCAGTACATTTTGCAATATTTAGTATTTATGAAGTAAAACATCCAACCAAATATATGATAAGTATTAGCATTTTCTCTACTTTACCCTATCTATTTTTAAGTCTTTTAGGCATAATCTTTATATATGAAGCATAAAAACCCAGCATGAACATTTATGAAAGAAACTTATTTGTACTGCAGAACACAACCACAACTTTACCTTCATTTGCTCCTTTCCTCAAATGTGGACATGTCCTAAAATTAAACCAACTTCCCAAAATCTAATTTAACAGCTGTAACCAAAAGACCAGATTCCTCTCACTGTAGAATCTTTTCTATGCCAGCATCAACTGTCAGGGACACACAGCTAGGATTAAATTTTGCAGAAATTAATATTGATTTAAATGTCAAAATTTTTGTAAACATTTACATGACATTAAAAGATTATAAGCATCATATTTATTACCTAGTCACATTTTCTAATGAAAATTGTATATACGAAGTTTTGTCTTGTCTTCAAATGCTTAAAAATATTATGAGTTTCATCAGGAGAAAAAAAAATCACTAATTTAAAATGAAGAAGAGATAGACTTCAAGGAGAATAAATATGCCATATTTATACCTGTCTCTGTTTGAGCTGAATAGAACTAATTTCCTATTCAGTGATTTTACTTTACAGCTAAGTCTCTTCTAAGTGGGTGTATTTGCTGAAACTAATGGCATGTTTTTCCAGACAGTGTTCACTTCTACAAGTGATAGTGCTTGTATGTTATGTAAACATGACAAGACCACTGCCTCACCATGGGTGCCGTATCTGCACCTGTGGGGAGGGGTGGAGAGGACAGATCATCCAAAACTGACCAACTAGGTATTCCATCCCATATACATCATACTTAGTATAAAGCTGAGGGACCACGAGGGTCTCAGCCGCTTCCCTTCACTCTTGCTCTTGTTCTTCCCCTACGACGGTCAAAGTCTGAGCTGAACCCTGCTAGTTCATCTGTCTCGATCCTGATCTGTGTGTTCCCGAACCAAATTCCTGCATCCTGCTCCCACCTGCTGCTGCGTTCGGACTGAGACTTTTCCAGTGCCCTGCTCTGCAGAGCCTCTCGTGACGTATATGTCATTAGGGGTGGGGAGAGTATTTTATATTTGTTTTATATATACATTTGTACATATCTGTATATATTTCATTATTTTCTTATTTACATTATTATCCTGTAGTATTAATATTATTGTTTCATTAAATCTGTTAGGTTTTTTTCCCAACCTATAAAGTCTCCCTCCCTTATTCTCTTTCTCTTCCCCTTCTAGGGAGGGGAGAGGGGTTAACAGAGAGCATCTGGCCAGCCCAGCCCTAAACCACGACAATACCTCTAGATTTAATACTTAACATTACCCAGCTGTAAAATGATTAATTTATGTAATACTAATCCAGCAATACTATGGTTAAAAAATTTATACCCATCCAGTGAAAAGAGATACATGCTGATCTTTAGAATCTTAACATAATATTTCATTTGAAAAATTAAATTGAATGTGACTTACAATAGGTTTATTGCCTTTTCCAAAGGAAATGTATCAAATTTAACATTATAGCAAATAATCACTATTTAAAATCAGCCCTTTCACATTATTTGGAGTCATTCACACTGAACTTAAAGCTCTTGGTTTGTGTGCATTGGTATCTCATGTCAGATATAAGAATACTTGTCCCTTTCTTCTTTGCAATTTCCCAAAATATCTGGGGCACAGTAGAATACCAACAGTCTTCCTTAATCATTTATTTTATGTATCACAGAGACAGACTGTCTCCCCATGGAGGGTAAAAGAGTTTTCCTAGTTTTTTATTTGTGTATTTAAATGTATATATACACATGTACATATACAAGTATACACATTAAAACAAAACACCTAGATACTGGGCCCGCAAACTGCACGCAAGGGAATTGCATGGTGCAAAGAGTCTGATTCTATTGATTTGTGATCTGTCTGAAATTTATTTCCCTACTTCTCTGCTTTCAGGAAAACTGATCTTTATGTAATTTATTTGCAATTATTTGTGACAGTACAAAAAGCTTCTCAATCAAAAAACTGATAACATGACTTCCACACAGTACTTTGACAAACACAGTTTTGAAGTAATGTAAAACCTCTGGGGGGAAAAAAAAGCCCCCCAAAACTCCTTAAGCTAAGGAATGACTTTTAAATCTTTGTTAATTATTGATTGATATTTAATAACATAGTAGTCAAAGGCTAATTTTTGTCAGGGAGTCTTCTGCCTTCAGAAATAGTCTTCAGTAGACAGAGAAAGGTTTCTCTTGTAGCTAGTCAGGACATCCAAAGATAGTCTTCTTCAGCAACTCAGTTAAAACTTGAGCCAACTTTAGCCAGAATTAAAGAGAGACCACCTTCTCTAGGCTAAAATGAGCTTTTTTTGAAGTTGAAGGCTAATTCTGAAGTATTTAGGTAAAGCAGTTTAAATTAGAAATATGTAAAAGACTGTGGGAAAAACTGTGAAACAACTTGTCTTTAAATTATTTCTGGGTGAACAATATAGTTTCTGAATGGGTAAATTGCACAGGATCTTACACAGAACATAGTGATTTCAGTGAAATCAATAAAACTCTAATCACATAACAGTTAGAAAATGTATATGAATATAAATAATACCATATAGTCTAGACAAACTTAAATATTGGGGGATAATTTCACAGAATCACAGAATCACAGAATATTACGAGTTGGAAGGGACCTTGAAAGATCATTCAGTCCACCTTCCCCCCGCCAGAGCAGGATCACCTAGACTAGGTCACACAGGAACACGTCCAGGCGGGTTTTGAATGCCTCCAGAGAAGGAGACTCCACAACCTCTCTGGGCAGCCTGGTCCAGTGCTCTGTAACCCTTACAGTAAAAAAGTTTTTCCTCATGTTCAGATTGAACCACCTATGTTCCATCTTGCTCCCATTTCCCCTTGTCCTGTCATTGGAAATCACTGAGAAGAGGCTGGCTCCTTCCTCCTGACACTCGCAATTTAACTAATTTTGGTTTTGTTCTGTTAATGTAATGCCTAATCTAATACCTTTATTCATTCAAACTCATTCAGTGCAGTCTCATTAAACCAATTTTTGTTATAATTTCTACAGAAATCGTTTAAAACTACATATGCATCAAAGTACTTACCACTTAATTTGGGACTTGGTGTTCCCAAAGCTGGTCTGGGATCCTTCACTAGTATTTTTGAACCAGCTGTTAGAAAGAATCAATAACAAAAGACAAATCAGTAGCAAAAATGTTACTCAGAAACTAGGAAAAATAATTTCCATAATGGAATTTATTTGTTACAAAGGATATAAGATGATATTTCAAATTAAAATACAAATGAGACTTCAGTCTGTATCAAGCCTTAGTATCACAGAAGCACATGACCACTGATTTCTTCCATTGGTGCATTTTCTCCCAAGTCAGTCACTTGGATGCTACCAATTCATTTGCAATACCCAAAGTGTAGCCTTCAACTTCAGAATCCACATTTCAGCATTCACAGTCCTAGACCATTCATCTAGTCTATGAGATGTCTTCTACTATGTCACCTAAGGAAAGTTATGTCATTTAAATCTGGATTCACACAAAATAGCACTGTCAATAGTCCTTTGACTGCAAGCAATGTAACATCAACCAGAGAAGAGATACATGGGTGTTTTAAATCATGTTCCTCTCCAGGACTTAATTATCTTCAACAGCACTGAGTGAGACATCTTGTGTTCAAGACTGAAATCTCAAAGATGCATGCTTAATCTCTTAATAATGGTGGAGAAGGCCACTGTTTCTTTAAAGAATAGCAATAGAAAGAAACAAATGAGGCTGTCCATAGTATCTCCAGCTGCTCAGGTGATGTGAGCACTGGAAGTCAGTGAATTTCATTTTCTCTCTGCTTAAAGCAGTAACTCTCCCACCACTGAAGACGATGAATAAATGCAATGGGACGCTGTCATTTCCTGCAGCTGAAGCGATATTACTTTGCAGAAAACAATTTGTATTCACTGGGCTATAAAGAAGACCCATAATTCTTTCTCCTCATGTAGAATACTATCATGCAGTACTAGGCTCTGTTCCTTGCTCCAATGGTTATCTCAATATTTTGTCTTTTGGATCCTTGGTCATTGGCTTGCCAAGCTAGTGAAGATGGCTTTATACCCTAGTTGCTGGGGAAGGGATACCTCAATTCATCCCAATTCTACCAGTTTGAAGCCAGTGCCAGTAACAGATGCCCAGAGCCTGGAAAAGGATCACAGGTCAGCAGGAGAGCACCTGAAGAGCAGCACAAAGGAATTCCAGCCACTCCAGCCAGTAAGTCGGCTTCATCAGGAGCCCTCTATTCAAATCTAGGTAGCATGGAGAATAAATAAGAGGAGTTAAGAGATGTGAATATGCCAGCAGGGCATATGATCTTATTGGTATCACAAAGATGTGTTGGGATGGCTGCTATGACTAGAGTGTTGGAATGGAAGGATACAGGCTCTTTTAGTAAAAGTAGGCAGGGGAGGTGAGGAGGTGTCACTCTCAATGTCAATGACCAGCTGGAGTGCATGGAGCTCTGCCTGGGGATGGATAAGGAGCTGACCAAGAAGTTATGGGTCAGGATTAAAGGGAGGGCAGGGACAGAGGACATTATAGTAAGGGCCTGCTACAGGCCATCTGACCAGGAAGACTGAGTAGATGAGGCCCTCTATAGACAGGAGCAGCTTCACGTTCACAAGCCCTGGTCCTCATGGGGGATTTCAACCACTCCAGTATCTGTTGGAGGGACACATAGCAGGGCATAAAAAATTGATGAGGTTCCTGGAATGCGTTAATGACAACTTTGTTCTACAAGTGATAAAGGAACCAATGAGGAGAGGTACTATGCTGGACCTTGTTCTCACCAATAAGGAGGAACCGGGAAGTCATGTGAAGCTCAAGGGCAACCATGGCTGCAGTGACCATAAAATGGTTAAGTTCAAGATCTTTCAGGCAGTGAGGAGGGTGCACAGCAAGCTCACTACCCTGGACTTCAGGAGAGCTGACTTCAGCCTTTTCACAGACCTGTTTGATAGAGTACCATGGGATAAATTCCTGGAGGGAAGAGGGACCCAGGAAAGACAGCTAATATTCAAGGGTCACCTCCTCCAAGCTCAGGAGTAAGGCATTCGAACAAAGAGAAAGTCATGTAAAAATGCCAGGAGGTCTTCATGGATGAACAAGGAGCTGAAGAGGGTAGAGGCAAGGACAGGTAGCCTGGAAGGAATACCGAGTTGTCTGAGCAGCCAGGGATCAGGTTAGGAATGCTATGGCCCTGAAAAAATTAAATCTGGCCATGGGTGTCAAGGGCAGAAAGAGAAGCTTCTATAGGTACATTGGTGATAAAAAGAAGACTAAGAAAAATGTAGGTCCTATATGGAAGAAAATGAGAGACCTGGTTACTCAAGATACAGAGAACGCCATGTTACTCAATGACTTGTTTGCCTCAGGTCTTCACCTGTAAGTGCTCAAGCTACACCACCCAAGTCACAGAAGGCAAAGGCAAGGACTGGGAGAATGAAGTACCACCCACTATAGGGGAACATCAGGTTCAAGACCATCAAAGGAACTTGAAGGTTCACAAGTCCATGACACCTGATTAGATCCATCCACAGGTCCTGAGGGAACTGGCAGATGAAGTTGCTAAGCTACTATCCATCATATTTAAGAAGTTGTGGCAGTCTAGTCAAGTCCCAGCTGACTGGAAAAAGGGACACATAACTTAAAAAGGAGGAAAAAAAAAAAAAAGAAGACCCAGTGAACTAAAAGCTGGTCATTCTTACCTCTGTGGCTGGAAATATCATGGAGTAGATCCTCCTGGAAACTATGCTAAAGCACATGGAAAACAAGGACATGATTGTTCACAGCCAGCATGGCTTCTCTGGAGGCAAATCATGCCTGAAATATTTGGTGGCCTTCTATGACAGGGTTGTAGCATGGGTGAATAAGGGAAGAGCAAATTATTCTCCCTGGTGAAGACCTGGTGATTCTCCCCTTTTACTCTGCTTTCGTGAGACTCCACCTGGACTACTGTGTCCAACTCCGGGGCCCTCAACATAACAGGGATGTAGCCATGTTGAAGCAGGCCCAGAGAAGGGCCACAAAGATGATCAGAGGATTGGAGCACCTCTCCTATGAAGACAGGCTGAGAGAGTTGGGGCTGTTCAGCCTGGAGAAGAAAAAGCCCTGGGCATACCTTATAACAGCCTTCCAGTGTAACTGAAAGGGGGTCTACAAGAAATCTGGAGAGGGACTTTTTACAAGGGCATGTAGCATTAAGACAAGAGGTATTGATTTCAAACGGAAAAAGGATAGATTTAGATTAGATATTAGAAATAAATTCTTTATTCTGAGAGTAGTGAGACAATGGAATAGGTTGCCTAGAGAGACTGTGGAGGCCCCCTCCCTGGAGGTGTTGAAGGCCAGGCTGGATGTGTATTTGATCAAACTGGTCAAACAGGTGTCCCTGCCCAGGGCAAGAGGGTTAGACTGGATGATATTTAAGGTCTCTTCCAACTCAAAACATTCTATGATTCTTTGATTCTATGGTCTTGGCTTTGAACCCAGGCCTTTTATCTTTGATCTATACTCTAAAAAATAGACAAGAAAAGCAACTTCTTTCTCTCAGAGTGGAGTATTTTTCTGCATAAAAAATAAACTTTATCAAGAAGCATTGAGAATATTTTTCTTGAGAACAAGTTTTAGCTTATTACTGATAGTTTGTGCTTGGTATATAGATTAAAACTGGCAAGAAACAAGTGCAGGCATTGGAATTCAACCTAAAGTTCTCATGGCCTATTACTACTGATTGATTAATCTCTATTACCACTCTGTTTTTAAAGAAATTTATTGAACTTCACTGAACATGGTTGGCCTGGAGGGTGTGCTTCAATATCATATCCTTTTAGGCAACATTAACCTCAGGTTAGAAATATCCGGATCATATTTTCCAAAGGGCTTTAGTATAAAAAGCTATTGAGTCAATCAGCCTTGTAAAGGTAGAAACATTTCTAGTCAAGTTCAGAACTGAAATTTTAAATACTAATTAAAATTTAATACAAATTTCAATTAGAAATGCAAAACAAGAACAATTTTTTAAGGAATATGCAGTTTCTATGTCCAGATACTTGCTGAGTAGCACTCTCAGGATTGTAGTTTTCCATTTAAAGGACCATATTCTGGTTTAATTCTCATATAGATTCTTTTAGAGCTCTTCACTCCAAATGTTTTATTCCTTTTCAACCAAGTTATTTTCCATCCATGTTATTTTTGTGAAGTTCACAATCACAGATGAACAACCTGACCTAGTGCTCTTCTCCTTTACACAGGAGAAAGATGTTTCACTCCTCTATAATAGGTACATTTGAAACTATTTAACAGATATTTTACTTTAGCTAATTAGAGTTAATACTTTACAATATGTTGCTTATTCTTAGCTTTCTTGACTGCTAAAAAGCAAGTAGCAATACCTCTGATCCCCAAAATTTTGCAATTCTATAGCATTTTCTCAAGGCATCGGGGAACTAAGCTTTATGACAAGGTAGATACACCCATAGTTACTACTTAATAATTAAAAAAAATACCTCATAAAGGTTCCTTACTCTCAGATAGGACAGCTAATACTATTTATTTCAATATCATCAGTAGAAAATTCTTGAATCAAAATACAACCCATGAATCACAGTTGGCCTGCCATAACACTTTGTTATGGTTTAAGGGTTACCAGCCTGAAAGGGAAGGACTGGTGGTGTCTGTAGGACCCTGGGGGGTCCAAGATCAGTACTGTTCACTCCCCTTTCCGGCCACAGTCTATAAAAAACCAAGGAGGCCTGCGGTTTGTGCGGGCTTTTCCTGGCTTTCCTGAGCTGCTTCCCTGTTGCATCTCAGGACGGTCGGGCCTAGCTCCACATGCTTGGCAGCATCCACCACCATCCGCTTCCTGGCACCACTGCAGTCCCTGGTGACAAGTCACAGCAGTCGCAGCGGCCACGAGACACTGCTCAGATGCTTCCACTCGGGAACCCTCAGGATCAGGTTTTGTATATAGTTAAATATCCTTTGTCCCTTATTAATTCCCTTTTCCTTTCCTCTGTTGTTTTTCATTAAACTTATTATAGTCTTAACTTCCAACCTTGTGCGAAGAATCTTTTTTCTCTATTCCCTCTTTTTTTAAATCCTTCTCCCTGGGAGGGTAGGGGACAATAGAGAGAGAATCCTGCTCTCTGAGCCTTAAATGGAGACACACTTTCTGAGTACTGAACAAGTCATAAGCTTTCTGGCAGCTTACTTTCAAGCACTTCCCCAAAGCTCTGCTCTGTTTTCCCCCAGCACCTGCCTGACATGTAGTGCCAGGACACCTGTTTTTTAGTAATACAAAATATTAATTTCCTAATTCCCTTCCAAGTAGCGGTGTTTGGCTATATAGCCTTTGAATGCCACTGTAAAAACCCTGGGGATAACCACATCTCAAATATTAGGAATCTATAATCTGAAAGGTGCTTTCATTATTCAGGGAATAGAATTCCAAAGAGCTGCTATACTTCAGGCTATTTCTTTTCTCACATGAGAAACACCATTCTCACCATGATTTTGCCATAAGGTTTTTCATGCCCTGCCATGACAAAGTATGTAGTAAAAATCAGAAACAAAATAAGATGTTGGAACAACAAGGACAAAAGTAGATAGATTTTGTTTGCAAGTAGCTTATTGTTGCTTACGTGCAAATAAAAAATAATATTAAACCCTATGGATTATTTCCATGCAATGATTCAGATATCTACTTGGACTGTAGACATCCTTCTCCAATAATACAGCTGTCATAGCTGTCTTGCAGCTGACAGTCTCTGTAAAGAAAATTGTCATGATCTAAGTTTAGTAGATATGTGCAAAAACACTGACATTCTTTCTTCACTGAGCTTACGAGAATGCAGTCCACACCTGATTCAGTCAGGAGTATAAAAGCTGGTGTTACCCAAGAATCTGACTTCCAGAATTACATCTGGAATTGACACCTCTGAGCATACAAATGAAAGACAGGTACATGAAAACATATTTCCCATTAAACACAACTGCCAAAGGGTAAGAGTTATCTCTTCATATGTTCTCCCTCCAAGTTCTCCTTGCCTGCTTGATCTCCTTAGACTGCAAGTAAAGAAAATCACTGAAATACGATAGATGAGAGATGCAGTGGGAAATAGAAGAGCTTACCTTCACAAACTGGAACTTTCCCAGTCCATGTGCCATCAGACCTACAGGCTCTATGCTCTGATCCTCCTGCCAGGAAGAAGCCTGGCTGACAAGTGTAAATCAATGTATAACCAAGTGAGGGAAGATCCATTCCTGCAACATTAGCATGAGTTGGTGTTTCTGGTTGTTTACAGCTGTGTGCTACAAATAAAAGATAAAAGAACCTTCAGTCAAAATGCTGAAAATATTTCTGAATAAATTATCTATACCTATTCTGACAGGTAACTAATGAAGAAAAAAGCATCAGTAAAAATAACATATTAATATATTTTAATTCATACTAAAAATTACTATATAATCTATAAATTACTGTCCTCAGTCTGTAAATACATTCTTGAAAATAGATCTTTCAATTCCAAGTGACCAAGAACAAACTTAAATGCAACTGGACCACCAAAATTAATTGTCTGCATATTTTAACACAAATAACACACAGCTTACCATTATTAAAAGCAGTCAGGGCTTGTGACTTACATAATTTACGATAGCTGTGCAGCATTGAATAACAGTAAATAAATGGGTTATTTGGAAAACACTACGAAAGGTCAAGGAGAAATTTTAGGTGAGGCAAGTTTTAAATATCAGCAGAAAAAATAATTACCATTCCTAATCTCATGCAAAGCGTCTTATATCTTTAACAACCACCAGAATCTGGGAGTCTTATCTCAAAAACAGCATAGCTCCAAGAGCAGAGCTTACCTTTCAACACAAAGCTACTGATTTGCTGTTTGCTTAGGGGGAACACTACCATCAAGTGAAACACTGATGCTGTTTTCTTCAGAGGATATGCTCTCCATACATTGAAAATTATTATATAAGGTCAGACTTTATAAGGTAAAATTATTTCCATGAAAATTACAGCTGGCTAGATAAAAAACTTGAAAGATTAACAATGATGTTGTACCTTCAGTATGTTAGCACTATTTAGCTATGTGTAAAAGATCTAAGAAATTAAAAGCTACTTCGTGCACCCGAGTAGGAAGATTCTCTCCATTTCAGATTAAAAATATTTCCAACTACCAAACATTATTTTCCCCCTTCTTAAAATATTCTGTCTACTTAGTTGGGAAACAGATCAAACTCTTTACTAGAACTGATGGTAGCTATCTGCTCCAGTAAAAGTTAGGGTTGTGCAGGGCTTTCCTGCATGTTCTGTTTTCATTATCTCTTCCAAATTATTTCATTAACCTCATTGGAAGGGTTGCACCCTCTTACATAGAAACTTACTATTTTCAGCATCTCTCTGGCGAAGAGCTGCCTGTTTTTATCATTATTTTCTTTTGGGTTTTTTTGAATTCTACAGGCTATTGTAGAACAAATTCACACACACAAATTTTGTTTCTACCTATTGTAAGCTAGTAATGCAAATTTGTATTTAATATAAGTTTATATATATATATATAGAGAGAGAGAGAGTTAACTTTGTAGGAATGTAACTAAATAGCCTATATTAAAAAAAAAGAAATATCAAAAATCTAACATTTACTTACGTATACATTCTGGCTGGATTCCACTCCATGTAAGATCAGGAAGGCAAGTTCGTGTTGTTGAACCATGGAGAAGGTGTCCTTTTTTGCATTGAAATTGAACAACATTTCCCACCTGTTGAAAAGTAGAAAACACAGTAATATTGTTATGAGGAAGTATCAGTTGGGTGCTTTTTCCAAACTTGTTAGTAAATTCCTTCATTCAATAAAGTCGATAAATTGTGATGCTCTTTCTGTAAAAAGCAAATAAATTTCACAGTGTATTTTTATATAAAATAAAAATTTGCTTCATTCTCATTAAAATTACTCTCCCCTTTAAATTAAAATCCTCCATGGAAGAGAATTGAGTTCAGAAACCAAGCTTATTGTGGCTTCTTAGCTCTGGACCAAAGACGAGCCAGCTAGGCAATCTTGCAGCAAGCCAGGCAAGCGGCAGAGCTGGAGGGGTTAATAGATACTGCTGGACCTTTGCTGAACTAGACTCCCCCTTTGTGGAATGCCAGAAGAAGTCACAAATTAGAATGAGAAATCTTTCATTAGAACATGCACGGGCTGGTCAACAACACCATCTCATGCTTCAGAAACTATGATGTTTCCATAATATTTTAATTTTGCTTTTTGATGACAAGAGATAAAAAAGAATAATTCTTTATACCACACAGATAATAGAAACTATATTACAATTTACAAATGCAATTTATCTGTGACTAGTTTTTAATTATTATTCTTACTATGGATATGTGTTGTATAAAAAGGAAAATAGAATTCTTTGGTCAATAACAGTTTCAGCATGAACATAATATGGAACAACTTGTTCAGCATGTCCAGTCATGGTGACATTGATGAAAATGCAAATAATTCTTAGTTTCCATAAAAAGCAGGGAAATTAGATTACAAGTATATCATTCAGAGAGTAGCCTATTACATGCTGTGAGTGGTTAACTCAAATATTAAAGTGCATAGATCACATCTACTGTTCTGTAGTGATTTGAATTAATGTATCTATCAATTCATGTTTAAAGAAGAAGTTGAAAACTTTGAACTATATGTGACAGGACATTTATGGTTCCAGGTTCTGGGTTTGTTGGTTGGTTTTTTTTTCATTATTTTGTATTAATGTTTAATGCTTGATTCAATTGATGTCTGAAGGTAAAAGGTAGAGTTTTTCATGATAGTTTATTCCTGGGAAATAGCATTAAAGGTGGAGTTTTTCATGATAGTTTATTCCTGGGAAATAGCGTTTCACTGCTACAAGTAGTAATTTCAAACTTTATACAACTATTCCATTTCAGCTCAGGCTTCTAATCAGAATGAAACTTAAGAATAACCAATGAACTACATATAGTATCTCATCAACACAGTATGTGATTTAAAATTCATCTCCCTTTTTTTTCATCTTTACTGTGCTCACTGGACTATGTAATTACTTTTAAAAGATTCTGAAGAAAATACACTAAGTCACTTTCACAATTAAGCACAAATAACACTAAAAGTGGGAAAACACTGTAAGTTTTAGTAGTTGCATCAAATAGAACTAGAGCTACTCTTTTATGTGGTAAAGAGCTTAGCTGAAACAACCACCATCAATATATTACTTTTTTTTAAAAGAAATTCTAGTCTTACAAAAGATTTGTTCATTTCAGTAACCTGCCTCTATTGAAGCAATCTCCATTCACAACTGTAGAAAGAACACCTGCCCTATTTAATCTTTAACTAACAAAGAAGACAATATTTTGATACTGTCTTTAAAACCAGGATCTTTTCATCCTTACTTGTATAGAAAAAAAACAAAAAACAAACAAATCCAAGCCCAAAACCAAGCCCCAGCTTGATTGTTAAATGTAGTTGCTTATTATACATATGAATAGGAACTTCTTTTTCTTTCCACATTAATCTTTCAAAGTTGACTTTATGGTCTTCGTGAATATAAAGTACTTAAGAAAAAATATAATTCTTTTGTGATATGGAGTAGCTGGACATCATGGAAATCAATGAGGTAAAGCAGTAAATTTAGTTGGCTACTTATACTCGGTTATCTAACTCTAAACCATAACTAAGTTAGAGATTCAAACTCTGGTAGTCAATAGCAACTCCAGAATTAGATACTGTATGGCTTTAACTGCTTAGTCACACTACCTTACTTATTTTCAATTAACATTTTATATGTTACATTCTCATTTTAAAAAAACGGTAAAAATCTTCTTTTCAGAGTTCAACAGTTCTCAGGATGCAATTATCTTTCATACATTAGCTCAACATCACTTAAATATGGGCGATACTGAATTAATCAGATAACTACAATCCTGAATTTTTCAGCTACTTTTTAGCAGGATATTACCTAAAATAAATTTGTCATTGTATAGAAACTCTTTTGAGAGACTAAAAAGCCAATACATTAAAAAAAAAAAAGAATTCAGTATATTCATTCAAATTCAGTATAGTCTAATTCTACTGTGTGTTGAAAGGGTTGGAGAATCATGTCCATAAATTCTTTAGTTCTATAGAACTCAATAGGTAACAATAAAAAAAAGGAGGAGGTGTGTTTTGCCAATTTTCTGTAACTCTTCTCTCTTCTTCAGCTGCCTATTCATGACTTTGGATTAGTTTTTTATGAACTGAATCTTCTACTGGACAGCTATATTGAAGGAAAACTGTTCATCTGAAGAACAGAACCAAGAAATGCATAAAAAAATTTTCTGTTAGCTGCCCATCTTCATTGCAGCTCTGCCCACTTTATGGCCTCATTGTAGCTTGGTTGCCTAAACATCAAACCAGTTCTTTAGTACTAAAAATACATACAGTCGTTGCAATACCAATACAAACTCTTCTATCAAAACCAGTAACTACTAATGAAACCATTTCCCTTATTTGATTTTTTTTTTTACTTCAAACATTCAAAAAAATGAAACAAACAACAACAACAAAAAACCCTACCAAAAATTGATGTCACCTGTATCATCCTTTCTGGGGAAACATAACCTTTACATATGTAAGCCCAAGAAATAGCACTAAAACTGCAACAGTTGCCCAAGAGATGAAGATGCAGCATGTAGAGCATGTAGCAGTAGGACGAGGGCTAATGGTTTTAAACTACAAAAGGGTAGATTTAGGTTGGATATTAGGAAAAAGTTACTCAACACGAGGGTGGTAGATCACTAGACCAGGTTGCCCACAGCTGTAGTGGAGGCCCCATCCCTGGAGATATTCAAGGTCAGGCTTGATGGGGCTCTGAGCAATCTGATCTAGTAACAATGTCCCTGCTTGCTGCAGGGGGTTGGACCAGATGATCTTCAAAGGTCCCTTCCAACCCAATACATTCTATGATTTTATGTTTCTATGATTCCATGTTTTTAGAAATATTTTAATGCTATTCAATATTAGGTTAATCAAAAAATAAATAAATGAGGCTCCCTGCTCCTATACATATAAAAAAGACTTACAAGTAATATGCAATTATTAACAATTAATCAATAGGAAGTAAAGCAAAAATTACTTTTCAGGAAGTCTATTTTGCACTATTGTTATGCCGGGGGCACCAGGTGGCGCTACAATACAGCCTTCGATGGTCTAAAAAAAGGCTCCCAATCCCGAGATGTTCTGATCTGTTCGAATTTTCTGTTACACAGCTTGAATAGAAGCACTGGTGGGGAGACTTGGGGAAATAGCTGAAATAGCTTTATTCATTGTAGTCTCCGGTTTTAGAGAAATGCTGTTTTATGTGCAACAGTGTCTGCATCCAATCCTGAAAAAAGATATTCCCTTGTATACTTGCTCTGTTCCATAGCTGGTTTTTAAATAGTGTCAGTAATGTTTAGATATTCCAAAAAGCAACATCACTAACCTTTCTTTTTGTTAAGAACCAAAGACCATGTATTTGCTGCTCCCTAACAGGAGAAACAGCAATCTTAGCAGAATATGAATAAATATAAATCCAAATGCATTTATAATGAATAGAATAGTACTCCAAACTTTTTTTCACTGAAATATTACTATACTAATGCATAATAATTATTAAAATAATAAAATAGTATCCTTGTTACTTCTTACATTCCTTATAAGAACAGAAAATATTTCTAATTTTCATTAGTAACTCTACATTCAATTTTTTCTTCACCTTCAGTTTACCACAGAACATGAAGATACTTAAACAATCCCCAGCAATTCATGACAAAGGATTAAAAGGCTAAGTGAATGTCTGTTACTTCTCCTCACTAATCTTTATCATTATATTTAAATGAATGAAAACACACCTCTAAGTCTTTCTATAATCTGTAGTTTCATAGCCCAGTAATACAGTATTGTCATTACTAGTTGAGCTTGCAAGACTTCTGGGCAGAGGCTTGCCAGGCTTCCTATGTCTAAAAGTGTCTTAAGCTGCCCAAAGCCTTTTTTTTTTTTTTTAAACTTGGCTAAGCTCAAAATTTCTTGTGACTAAGTGGCTATGACTAATTTTTATGCCTTCCTTTATCTTTGGTACAACCACAGCTTTATACCCATAGTAGAAACAAGAAGCTATTATGTGCAGAATGAGCTGTTTACCACTAATGTGATGCAGTACAGAGAAATACAAGCCTGGCACTGGAATGATAGCAAAGGCCTTGAGAAATGGAGACATGGGATACTGTGAAGAAGACCACAGGTGCTGCTATGATAAGAGATGTGACAGAAGCTCAGCACTGGAGAGCCCATGGCTGTGAACAATACATTCATGGTCACTTAAAGAAATGCAGACGTGGACAGAATCAGGTTTCAGAGGTAAAAAAAAGCAAGTATAGATGAAATGTACCTTATAGGTTAGATTGAAACATAATGTGGAGTTGCAGTGTGAGTGGTGCAAAAGTATGTTAGAATCATTATAAATAACCCCAGGTACATCAAGAATGACAGACATAAAAGAAAAAAAAAAAGGAAAAAAAGTCAAAAATCACATTCCTGCCAGTGAAGCACTCCAGAGGTAGACACTAACATCCCCCACTGACATCAGGCTGATGCCACAGACTTCAGGATCCTGAGAAGCAGGAGGAACCAGGAAAATTATGCCATGTCTGATAAGGATGCAGTGATGTTGCCAACTGTGCTAATGAAGAGAGCTATACTGTGATAGCACAAAACTTCTTTTGGAACTTCATAATATAATTCAATCAACACTAAAGTTTTTATAAGCATTATATTCACTGAAGGAGATTATTTGCAATGTTTCTACACATCTGCAGATCAAGTTTCATACCGCATTTCTTAAAAAAGAGCCCAAGAGCTAACACAGGGCTACCACTACTGTATTGTGGCTATTTTCCTTTCTAAATTCAGACTGCCCTTCGGCTCCCTTCAGGATTTAATGTAGAGGAAAATAGCTGAATGTCTGCAAAAATATATGTTGGAAAAGTATGAGAAGTAATAAATCTTACATATATGACTGATCAGTCTAAGCGGTTCTAAACTGTTTCTTCAGTTCAGTACTATCTTGTGTTACAACAGCTTATGGTGAAAGTGCTATAAGCAATTTTTTATGTTACTAGAAATACATATGAAAAATGTTTCAAAACCACAGTTTCTTTCCAAAGAGCAATTTATTTTCCAGATTACAGATGAAGTCAGTATTCACCAAGTTCTAAAGATATTTTGTCTCCGAAATAGCTCTTCATTGTAACACACTGTTAAGGTAGAACTGTCAACTCAAAAAATACTCAGATGAAAGGTAAACATCCTAGAAGTACATGTTCATCACAATTAAAGTAGGTGATGCTACTCATTTATAAGCCATACCTGGTATCCAAGTAGCACTAAGCTAGCATTTTGATGTTATTCGAACAAACAAGAACCTGATCTGTTTCTGTCTGCTGAATTCAAAGCTGAACAATAAATTCCATGCAAAATTCTGTTATCTCTTTGCTACAAACCTCTTATTTAACACCATTCAAATGTGAGGTGGTGACATTTGTGCTTTTGTTAGTGTAGGTTCCAGGAGGTCTGGTTTTGATATGCCTTTCAGTCAAGCCTGGAGTTATGTTATATACAACTTAACTTTGAATTCAATCAGTAAGATAGGAAAACAGATAATAAAGAGTGGTGGAAATAACAAGAACAAAAAAAAAAGTGCTGTGGAAGCTCACCACTTAGCATTAGCATCGTGAAAAGCAAGTGACAGTCAGTGACACTGTTAGGTAATAGGGAGGTATTGTCATTTGTTGAAAAGCAGTTAAAAGAGGACTAAACATATGAAGACTTGAATTCTACTGTCAGGCTACAGCTTGATTTTTTTATAAGACAGAGACATAAATTTAAAACTTAACAATTAAGTCACTTAAGTGACCCTACTAATATTAGTTTAAATGTGAAGTATTTAAGAGCATTAAAGAAAACCAAGCCACAAAAAAACCAACAACAACAAAAAAAACCAAGCAAAAACCCCACCAAACCCCCAAATAAGAAAAAAACCTAACAAACTAAACCAAAATAAACTAGTTTGGAGTAAGAAAACTATCTTATATATTCAACAATAATAACTACTTGCTATGCATTTGCCAACTGCAAACCATTTTGCTTAATTTTGCATAAGCTCCTTTGGTCTATTGTTTAAAATGGTAGAGAACAGCTCTATCAGACAAAAGAAAACCAAAGCATCTCATCTAAAGTATTTTGGTATAATTTAGGATTATTCTTTACCTTTCTGCTATGGATGGAAGAAAAAAAATCACTATTATACAATTTATTCAGGAAGTTAATTATAGCATAATTTAAATTATTTTATGTTTATGGTTTAAATGAGTCAAAATATTATTGAATATATAGTAATGTGATATTTCTTTCCAGGATCTACAGACAATAACTTTTCTAGAACCAATCATTTTCACTGTCATTTCCATGCAATAAAGATATAAACTCAGCTTCGTCTGTCTGGATGATACTCCTACTCTGTTCTGTACTAACTAAGCAATCATATCTAGAGTAATCAGAAATGGCATGCAGACATTTAGTTACTATATAAAATTAAACTTGCTACATGAGCTTGAGGATAAGTTTCTGGCTAGGTAAGGAGACTATAGCTTGTACAGTTTAAATCTGCAATGCACTAACCTTACAACTGTGGGTCTGAAGCTATAAATTCTACCAGCAGCTGCACTTCTTTTAGAAATTATTTATCAGTTGATATTTTGCCTGGTATTTTGACAGTTCCATGCTAGCTGTGAGTGATGCTTTCATTCACAACTACAATAACTATACCACAAATGAAAAGTCTACATTAGCTTCTTCAGTGATAGAAAGCTCATTAATATATCAGAGAAACTGTGACAATAAAACTGTAGAAAATGGTCATTGCAATGATTCATTTCTTATGCAGTTGAATAAGGAGTTGCCCTCTAACATAATACTGTATTATACCCGAAAGAATTCAGCCCAAGGACTGCCCCTGCATATTCTATCTTGGCACGAAACAGCACTCAGTTGCATTCCCTGGAGAAAACTGAGACAATTATATCACCACTCACATGTGACTCTGATGGAGCACAATCTGAAAAACTGAAGATTGCTAAGCAGCAGCAGTGTTGTGAAAAGGCCACCAAAATGACAAACCAAAGAAATTTTTGACCATGAAACTTTGAAAAGTCTTTAGCTACTACCTTTGTATTTAAAAACTCATTTTATGTACATGTGCTCAAATTTCAATCAGCCCTTTCTTGCATTTTTGGTAATCTGCAATTTTTATTTAACTCCTGCTACTAGACAGGCACCACATACAACCAGGTAGCTGCTAGCTTACAGCCTTGACAGTGTGTGACCTACTGTGTATTGGGTTTTCTGTGAGGAGGTTTTTGGTTGTGTCTTTGGTAACAGGTGAAGGGCTATGGAGATGGCCCTTTAAGAAGCTACCTGAAAAGCTCCCCCTTTTGCCTTTGACAGACCCACCTCTAACCAGGGCCAAGCCAATCAGCGCCCCTGTGAATTCATGTATTTAAGGGGAGTGCAGGGCATGCCTATTTCTCTCTCTGGCACCGGCCCTGACCAGTGTGGCCCCTGGTGTGGGTGGTGCGGCCCCGGCCTTGCCCGGCTGGGCTTCACCGGCCCTGACCACAACTTAAGCTTAAGCCCCACTGCAGCTTCATCCTGAAAAAAAAGAGAGAGAGAGAGAGAGAGAGAGAGAGAGAGAGAGAGAGAGAGAGAGAGAGAGAGAGAGAGAGAGAGAGAGAGAGAGAGAGAGAGAGAGAGAGAGAGAGAGAGAGAGAGAGAGACGGGATAACCATATCCCGGTTATGATCTCCATAACCATCGGAGGAGACCTGCAGCAGAGAAAGGAGTGGGGCCCGAGAAGAACAACTTTGAAGAACACCAAGGTCGGTTTGAAGGAAAGAAAAGAGAGGGAGGAGGAGGAGGACGCAGAACCCAGGTTTCCCCTTTGCAACCTGTGGCGACAGCCGGGTCGACAGGTCATGTGTGAGAGAACTGTGACCATAGGCAGACCCAGATTGGAATTTTGTGGACTTGGGCTGCAAGCAAACTTACTTTGTTTGCAGCTGCCTTATCAGATTCCTAGAAAATTACAGTGCATGCTTTTGCATCTGTACACCACTCACTCATGAAAACATCTCACTGACGTCACTGTTTTGTGTGATTCAGAAAGTCAGAAATCCAGCAGCATTTTCAATTTCACAATTCTGTTTCCAGCAGCAGCATATGCAAACACCACTTGCCACAACATACCCTTGTAGAAAAGGCAGCAAACAGCCTCTTTGGCTGCATCAGACAAAGCATTGCCAGCACATTGAGGGAGGTGATTCTTACCCTCTGCTCAGCACTGGTGAGACACAAATGGGTGCTGGGTCCTGTGCTGGGCTCACCAGTGCAAGAGAGACAGGGACACACTGCATTGAGTCCAGTGATGGGCCACAAAGATGACTAGAGCATCTAGCATACAGAGTGGCTGAAAGAGCTTGGAATGCCCAGTCTGTAAAAAAAAAGGCTCAAGAGGGATCTTATCAGTGTGCATTAAAACTTACTGAGTGCAGGAAAGGTGACAGAGACAGATCTTTTTTCAGTGGTGCCCAGTGACAGGAAAAGATGCAATAGGCACAAACTGAAACATAAGAAATTGTGTTTGAATGTAAGAAAAAGGACTTTCACTGTAAGGTTGACCAACTTGGAAAAAGTTGCCCAGAGAGGCTGTGGAGTCTCCACCCCTGGAAATAGTCAAAACTGCCTGGACACAGCCCTGATCAACCTGCTCAAGCTGACCCTGCTTTGAGAGTACAGTTGAACTAGAAGCTCTCTGGAGTTGCCTGCCAGCTTCTGTGACTCTCTGATTCATTTCTGGTCACATCATTTTCCAATGGAACAACAGAATTGCCCTCAGAAAAAAAAAATACACATTTTTAGAGTATGTCTACACTAGCAGTTTGGCTTACAGTGTACACACTTCTAAGGAGAAAAAGCCTACTTGATAAACAGTAGGGAGGAGTTATATATTGGTGGGGAGATATTGAATTCCTTCAAGCTGAAACCAAACAGAACCCGATCACCAGGGTTTCCCATAGTGCACTGTTAATAGAGACACAAGGTCAACGTAATCCAACAGCTAGAAATAAGGAAACACAGCAGCACTCCAGCAAACAGCTCTTACAGGGCATGAGCTGTTTCTGGTCCTCTAATAACAAGTTTCTAGAGTCTGAGGTAGTAAAAAAATACTTTAACATGCAAGTTAATAAAAAATAGTGTACTCTACCTGATAGCCAAATGTGTTGTTTTGTGATCCGTGCCTTGGAACTCCTGGATTTTCACATGATGTGCGGGTAGGTTCTTAACAAAAAATTACGATAAATTAAAGACAAAACAAATTACAATATTTAACTAAATACATGAATATATCACAAAAGTAAGCTTGTTGAACAACATGCATTAAACTAATGAAACAAAAATAAAGTTACTTGATTCTTAGAGAGTATAAAATAACACCATGATTAATTCAAAACAGCTGAGACTTCCCAGATTGACTTAGCAGAAAAAGGATTAATAAGCTTTTCAAGAAATTTCAGTATTACATGTGTAGCCTTACCTATACATCGAGGAGAAGATCCACTCCATGTGCCATCTGCTTGGCAAATCCTGGTGCTGGAGCCAACCAAAATAAAAGAAGGATTGCAGCTGAAAGAGACTTCTGACTGATAGATGAAGCTTTTGCCTTCTCTTTTCCCTTGAGCAGGTACTCCAGGGTCACCACAAAACTTTGCTGTGAGAAAAGACATGATAGAAATGGAATGTGTCATTTATTAAAACACATAAAAATAACACTTACCTGAAGTCAGTCGAGCAGTAACTCCAAACTTTGTATTTGTTTTATGAAACACAGATCAAATACAGAAACATTTAATAGGATTTATTTGGTCTGCATGGCAAGGTTTTGGTAACAGAGGGAGGGCTACAGAAGTGGCTTCTGTGAGAAGCTTCTAGAAGCTTCCCTATGTCCAATAGAGCCAATGCTAGCTGGCTCCAAGATGGGCTTGCCACTGGCTAATGCTGAGCCAGTCAGTAACAGTGGTAGTGCCTATGCGACAACATATTTTAGAAGGGGGAAAAAACCTGCTGTACAACTGTTGCTGGGAGAGAGGAGTGAGAGTATGTTAGAGAAACAACTCTGCAGACACCAAGGTCAGTGAAAAAGGAGAGGGAGGAGCACCTCCAGGTGCCAGAGCAGAGATTCCCCTGCAGCCCATGGTGAAGACCATGGTGAGCAGGCTGTCCTCCTGCAGCCCATAGAGGTTAATGGTGGAGCAGATATCCACCTGCAGCTTGGCAGATGACTGTGACCCTGTGGGAAGCTTACACTGGAGCAGACTCCTGGCAGAATCTGTGACCCAATGGAGAGGAGCCCACACTGGAGCAGGTTTTCTGGCAGGACTTGTGACCCCGTGAGGGACCCACAGTGGACCAGTAAGTGAAGAACTGCAGTCCATGTTGGAAAAGTTTGGAGAACTGTCTCCTGTGGGAGGGACCACATGATTGGGAATAGCCAACACGGATTCATCAGGGGCAGATCATGTTTAATCTGATTGCTTTCTAGGATGGAGTGACCCATTCAGTTGATGCAGGACGAGTGGTGGACGTTGTCTACTTGGACTTCTCCAAGGCTTTCGACATGGTCCCCCCACAGCCTCCTCTGTGAAAAACTAACAAACTACAATGTAGATAAAGGATCTGTGCAGTGAGTGGGGAACTGGCTGATGGGCCATTCTCAGAGGGTGCTATTAAATGGTTCATTCTCTAACTGGCAACCAGTCCCAAGTGGGGTCCCTCAGGGATCAATATTAGGCCTGATGCTATTTAATATCTTCGTTAGTGATCTGGATGTTGGGATCAGGAGCTCCCTGATGAATTTGGATGATGACACCAAAATAAGTGGGGTAGTTGACACTCCAGAAGGGAGAGCCACCCTCCAGGAAGACCTGGACAGACTGTACGAGTGGGCTAGCAGGAATTGTGTGAAGCTCAACATTGACAAATATAAGGTCTTGCAACTGAGAATACATAATCCAGGAATGCAGCTGAGATTGGGTTCCACCTGGCCAGAGACCAGCCCTGTGGAAAGGGACCTGGGGGTCTTGATGGATGACAAACTCAGCATGAGCAAACAGTGTGCTGCAGCTGGAAAGAAAGCAAACAGGATGCTGGGTTGCATTAAAAAGGGCATCACCAGCAGAGACAAAGAAGTCGTTATCCCTCTCTACTCAGCACTGGTCAGACCACACCTTGAATAGTGTCCACTTTTGGTCCCTGCTATACAAAAAAGATATGGACAGGTTGGAAAAGGTCCAGAGAAGGGCCATGAGGATGATCAGAGGCCCTGCCATACGAAGAAAGGCTGAAAAAACTGGGCCTGTTCAGCCTTGGGAAGACAAAGTTTAGGGAGGACCTTATTACCATGATTACCATGTACAAGTACATAAAGGGTGGCTACCAAGAAGATGGACACTCCCTTTTCACAAGGAGTAACATGGAAAAGATGAGGGGTAACGGACACAAGTTGATTCTGGAGAGATTTCGACTGAACTCCAGACTAAATTTTTTTACCATGAGATCAATCAGACATTTGAACAATCTCCCAGGGGAAGTGGTAAATTCCCCTACACTGGTCAGTTTTAAAAGTCAGTTTGACAGGGTGCTGACTCAGCTCATTTAAACTATACTTTTGCCTTGAGAGGTTAGACTAGATTATCCTTGTGGTCCCTTCCAACCTGGTATTCTATGATTCTATGGTATATTTTGTCACCCCTGTTCAGCTGAATAAGGGAGTGAAAAAGTAGCTTTGGTGGGCACGTGTCATCCAGCCAGCACTAACTCACCCCATAGGAATTCAAAGAGAGAGTAGATAACCAACATTTAGTCTGCTTCAGTTTGCAGTAGTTTTGTTAAGATGTTCAAAATGTCTACGTAGTGAGCTTGGCCAGCAGCTTGAAGTTGAAACTCAAGGTTACACTACTCACTTTATTAAGGCTCAAATATCCACTATTCTTATCTGCCCCAAACCACATCAATCTGCAAACCATCCTGTAGACAGCAATCAGAATGTACGAAACTTTCATGTCAATCTCCTGTCCTCTCCTGCTCTCTGACACCTATGCAGCGCTCAACATTTTTGTATGGTTAAAGGATCTGACAGACAGCTTTTAGGAATCATGAATTCTTACTTCCTCATCCTTCACCGAAAGTTAAGATTTGATATGTATGGAAGTACAACGCTTGAAACCTAGTGCAGCTAACAAGAAAAAAAAATTAGTGCAGAAATTTCAGCAGCAATCTAAAAGCTGAATTTTTGAATTTTTGAATAATTTATTCAGGAAATACAATCAGCTGTGATAAACAGATCACCTGATGTGATCGCATTATATTACTCCCTAACACACCATGAGTTCCAATATTGGACAGTCTAATTCTATATGGAACAGAAAATGTGGTAATACACACAAAAAAATAAAACACTAACTTGGATGTGTGCAATGACATATTTCTGAAAAAGCATGTGGAACTTTCTGCTCCATGTTTCCGTACTCCAAACAAAAATTAAATTACTTCTCTTAAGCAACCACTACCAAAATACATTTCTAATATCTCTAATGTTGTTGTCTATGCTTTAAGCTTTCCAAAGGACTTGCTCACATAAAATGCTCTTGCCCTCTATCTCCTACTGTAGACACTGACTGTATAGGAAGCCCATGCACACACACATGGTTGAAGAAAAAGGGCTTAATCTATAACACACTAGAAATGTACACAGTTTCATGGATTTAAGTGGAATGGAACTGTCTGCAGATTTATGGTCAAATTCTGAAAAGATCTCTGAGTTGGAGATAGTGTCACACAGTGGTCCTCACTGGGTGATTGATAGATCATTGTTATAATTTATGTTTTCATTAGAAAACTCTGTGTAAGTCTTATTTGAAGATACATGAATCACTTAAGATATTTAATACATTGTGTTCTGATCAATTCTTTGTACCATCAAAGCAGCAACCACCCTCAAGGAAAAACATGTTCACATTAAAAAAATAAATTGTAAGTTTGTTATTTTTTTTATAAGACTAAGAAAACTCTACCGCTTAGTTGTCAGTCAACTGTACCAAATAATTGAAAAACTACTGTATATCTGATTTCTATGTAGGTTTACCATGGAAATCAGGCACTATGGTAAAAGACAGCAGTTTTACTCTGATATTGGAACAGGGGTCTACAGAACAAACTCGACTGGAAGGTTTGTGAATGCTCTCACTCTCAGTGAAAATGTTTTCCTGAGGACTCTGAGACCCTTTATCAGAGACTGGGCCATGGAGCTCTGGTATTGAGGCTGTGAGTCTAGTCTCATTCTTCAAAGACAACAGCAAGTTAAATCTGTGCTTAGGAATTTTCAGGCATAAGCTTTTTTTTTTTTTTTTTTTTTCCATCTATTGCCAACCTTATAAAATCAGCATTTTTTACTCAAATTACTGTATGAATAAAGAAGCAGGCAAACTTACCAGGTCATAGATGACAAATACCCAATGAAAGACATGACTATATTCCATTTTGAATAATTATTCCACGTTATAACTATACTTTGCATATCTTCAGCTACTGGCTTTATGGAAACAAGCTGTGAAATAAATTTCTGTTGTCAAGAACTGCTTAAAGATTGCTCATTGAGAATGACTTTCACCAGCTCCCTTTCATTTCTGCCAGATGGCAGGTAGTTTAATGCTCTATGACAAGCATTGGCTGCCAATTCATTTCTTTTGCAAGTCAGTGGGTAACCATTGTCAATCAACAACATTTAGTTAATGTAATCTCTGCATGAAACAGCTTTTAATTCCTAGACACCTGCATTCTATGCTAACTATACCTTTTAAAAAGTTCAAAGTTGGAGCCCCTTTTTTAAAGCATATTGCAGTATTGAGTATTCCAGTCTCAAAGATGACAAATAGCTCGTGGTATCTAAGAATGAATGTGAGGACGCAATATTTAAATCAATAATGAATCATGAAAAGAATATTTCATGGCCTTTGATGTTATAGGTGGAGCTCCAGAAGAGCCCCACCTAGAGAGCTTAACAAATTGAGGTGTTTTTTTTCTTCCAAAAACAATGCCTTTCATAATCTGACACATACAGTTTCAGCAGAAGAGAAACTGGTGTTGTTGATATGAGAATATCACTAGGAAAAAAATAAAGAAATAAATTATCATCTATATGATACACTTTTGTAGTAGTAGGATATAGCCAAGACAGAGAAAATTTTTGAAAGGGAGAGAGAAAGAATGTGAGAAATAGTAAAAGAATGGAGAACTGCATTTTGCAACATTTAGCAAGCTACCTGGCAAGCTCAGCTACTTGACAAGCTGGAATTAAGCTTATAAACTGTAAAGGCATGAAGATGAAATTACCTTCTTCTAGTTAGACTCCTTGCTCAAGATACTCTACAAATAACTACAGAACCTTCTTCTTCAGTGCAATCAATTGAATATCAGAAACATCACAATCACTTCATCAAAAAGACTTTTTAAATAATGAGGGGAATGACACCAACCTAAATAAAATGCCACATTTGGTATTGTAATGAAATTTGTAGCAATATAAAAATCCATCAATGTTATAACTTTCAAGTTAACAAAATTTACTGGATAGAACACATAATATACTGCTGGGGAAAATGGATCAGAGAAATCACTCTAGGGTCTTGTACTGGGTTTTCTGTGACTGGTTTTTTTGGTTTTGTTTTTGGTAGTGGGGAAGGGCTATGGATATAGCCCTGTAAGAAGCTACCTGAAAAGCTTCCCCCCTCCAATGTCAGACCCATCTCTGACCAGAGCCAAGTCAATTGGTATCCTTGAGAATTCATGTATTTAAGGGAGGGTGCAGGGCACATTCTCTCTCTCTCTTGCACCGGCCCTCACGAGTGTGGCCCCAGGTGTGAGTGGCATAGCCCCAGTCCTAGACTTGCCCAGCACAGCTGGGCTGGGCTGGCCCAACCCCAACATATGCTTAACCCCTGCTGCAGCTCCAGCCCAAAAGAGAGAGCCAGGAACTCTTCAGAACCATCAGAAGAGACCTGCAGTGGAGAAAGGAGTGGGACTTAAGGAGAATAACTTTAAAAAACACCAAAGGTCAGTTGAAGGAAGAAAGGAGAGGGAGGATGGGAAGGGCACACAGCCAGTTTCCCCTGCAACCTGTGTGCCATGTCAACCCGCCTGCAGATGGTAGAAGCTCACCTGTTGGGGCAGAGCCACATTAGCAGGTGCCTGCCCCTGAAGATGCTGTGACTCTCGGCAGTGTGTGCTGGAGCTGTTCATGTGTGAGGGAACTGTGACCATGGGTATACCCTGAATGGAGCTTTGTGGACTTGGGCTGAAGCAGTTATGTGCATGAGGGAAACTGCAGCTGTGGGCAGACCCATACTGGACTTTTGTGGACTTTTTCCCCTGTGGGAAGGGCGCCATGTGGAAGCAGAGAGAGAGGCTAGGAGAAGTCATCCCTTACCCTTGGAAGAGGAAGGAGCGGCAGTAGACCGCTTGACATGAACTGACGGCAACCCTCGCTCCCATGTCCCTTGCGCCCCTGGGCAAAAGTGGGGAGGTGAAGAAACTGTGAACAAAAGCTGAGCCGGTGAAGAAGGGAGAGGTGAGGTGAGGGGAAGGTGTTTGACTTTAAGATCTGGTTGTATCTCTTATTGTTCTACTCTGACTTTGTTAGTAACAAATTAAAATTGTTTGGGTTTTTTTTTCCTTCCTATGATTAGTCTGCCTTTTGCCCGTGGCCTTTTAAGTGGTAAGAAGCCCTTCCAGTCCTTATTTTGACTAGCTTGTTTTGACGTGGATCATTTGGTACATATTACCTGTAATATTTTTTGGTGTGTTTAAGGCTTCCTATATGCTCACAAAAGATTTACAGATATTCCTATGTCTTCGTCAGTCTAAAAATTGAGTTACGATTTTGGAAAATACAGAAGGATTGTATTTGTGCCAGGTCTGAAATTAACTGAGCCACTGCTGGGTCAGGATGGAAGAGGGAAGAAAAAAAAAGTGTAAACTTTAAAGAGGAAAAAAGGCATGATAGCTGAATGAAGAAATGAAGGACCATAAAGTAAATACATACGCAAGCACTGAGGTACTTCACCACTCCACGTTCCATTCCCAACACAAGTCAAAACAGCGGGAAAAGAGAGTTCATATCCTGGAGAGCAGAGATAGCTAATGCTAAATCCCCAGTCCAAGTTTGTTCCTTCCAACCTTCCATTAGAGATCTGCGGAGGAGTTGGGCAGGTAACAGCTGCAATAATATTCAAAATAATTAGGCCCAGCTGCTGTAAATATTCCCAGTGTACACAATTACTAGAAGAACCATATGTGCTAATTTCACCTTTTTCAGAGGACAATACAGTCAGGACATGCTATCTTCCTCACTGTATTCTTGCCACATTTTTTGAAGTTAGTACTTCTGGTTACCTCCATTTAGGAGACAGTGGCCAATTGATGAAGTGTATTAAAGACACATTTAAGATATGTCTGTTAGTATATGACAAAGTGATTTTGTTTGTCTATTTAAACAACATAGAACTGAATTATTATACATCCTTCCTGTTAACCAGCTTACACATTTGCTAGATATTAAAGCCCAGGGATGAAATTACAGAATGACTGCTCCAAAATAGGATTTAAAAGCCTGTTTCTAAGTACCACAGTTTGGTTAGTATTTGCTTCATGAACAGCTTCTCACCCAAAAGCATCTAGCCTATAGCTAGAGGGAGAAAAATTAAGGATTTGCAGCCTCTTGAAGTTGTCACTGTTACCACTAAGAAGGCCAACAAGAAATATTTCAGCACAGATTGTTATTTCCAGGCCTGCCAGGAAAAACCAGAAACATCTTCTACTCAGTTGTTGGAAAGAGACAGTAGAAATAAACAAACATCATTGTAGTGATGAAGATAAAAGTCCTATTCACTGGATAATGGAGTAGTTACATACAATTGCTAACTGAGACCTGAAGGAAAAAGCGTTTAAAATAAGTTAAAAAAAAAAAAAAAGGAAACAGTAAGAGAGGGGAAAATTTAGGCCAAACTTTCTAGAATGAATCAGAAGGAGAAAACAGGTAAAAAAAGATGAAGTTTGGAGAAACTGGTAGCAAAAGAGAAAGAAAGCAAATGTAACCAGTATGACTTAATTTACTGGAGAGAGTTGGGGCAAATGATAAGAGGTGGTGACTAAAAATAAAATAGAGAACACACAGTTCACAAGAATAGAGGAAATTAAAAGCTGCACTCATAACCTTTAAACTTATGTTTAGATAACTGTCAAAAAGTTCACCATATACCATTTCTCCATTCTTATCATACAGTTCAGCGAGAGAAACTCAACTATTTATATCACAAAGACACTCTGCAGTATCATTCATGGCTGTTTGAGAATCCTGATGAAAGTAGTACTATTATAAAATAATCCTTTGCCAACTAGGAAAACAAATATAGATTTTAAGACCTTTTAATTTTAATCTAAATTATTATTTCAATCTGAATTTAAATTTAATTTTATTATACTTTCTGTTTCTTTTGCTCTGCTTCAGTTTAAAAAACAGCACCAACCAATCAACCCAAAAAAGTACATGATAGCTTTTGCCACACTTTCAAGATGCTTTAATAAAAATATCTCAAAATAAGTACTCCAAGCAGCAAAAGTCTATCCATGTTCACCAAAAGCTTCATGACCAGTCCTTCTAAAAAGTTCTGTATGTTTTAACTTCTGAGTTGAATAATAAAGGAAGACATACCGGTCAATAATTAGGAAAGGAGACAGAAGAATTAACATGAAAATAGGTATAATACCAGAATTTTGGGGTGAAAAAAGTCAAACAAAACAACACCAACAACAAGGCAGAGTGAATCTCTAAATAATTTGGTCAGAGATTTAACCATAAATAATTACAGCAACATTTCTCCATTTTTGAGCTGAAAATATATTAAAAATGCAAGCCTACAGAAAAGATAATGCTTGAGTAGTTGAATATTCAGTTGCAGATGAACATGTATAATTTTCCAGCTAGGCAAAGGCAGAGAATTATTTATATCTTTTGTTTCAATGGCACTGGGACTATTTCTGCCCAGTTCATTTTCCAATTATTTTAAGTAAATGGTACCAGACTATCCTAGCACTTCCTTCTGTCAGTAAGAACTAATTGCTATACATTTCAAACACACTGTTGCATATATATATTACTTTCAGTTACACACTCGAAGAAATGGGGGTTATTAACTTATGTAGTGCACTCACACAAACCTGAGTAGATAAAAATTCTGAGAACACTAGAGATTCTACATGAGTATTATTTAGTATTTATAAAAGCCATAAATACATATGACTTAAAACCAGAAAAACTCAAAAACTCAGTCAAAATTGACATCTAACTCTTTCTTTGTATGCTTCTGTTTGGATCAGATAGGAGCTAGCTCTGCTGCTCTAAGTTATGTGCCCTGTAGTCCCTAAGAACTCGAGGCTGGGAGAGTCTATCATAAATACTTGTTCTGTCTTCTGATTTTCTAGCTGTTTGATTACAGACAGTTAGTCTGTAGTTAGTTTGAGACAGACAGACTCTTGGTCAATAGGACCAGTATGGCCATTTTTCTGTTCTTAAAATCAGTATTGTAATTGGACTGGCTAAGAGGCCAATACAAATAGAAAAAAAAAAGTAGTGGGCTTGGTAAGATATTGGGAGAATTATACTCAGCAAGGAAAGTAATTGCAAATAGGGTGAAGATTTGAAATTTATTTGATCTCTTTTGATGAATGAATTCAGGAGAGGAAAACAAGAACTGCTGAAAAAGGTATGTAACCATACTTCCTGATAACAAAATAGAAGGAAGATGGATAAGAAAAAAGTAAGGACAAACTTAGCCAACTAAGTTTTAAAAGAATAGAGATCAGACATATTTAGTATGGACTGAGAAAGCAATGATCAAAATAGTAACGCTGCATCTCTGCAGCTGTAGCATCAGCAAGAGTGAGAAAAATGACTAGAGAGTAGATGGTTTAGGTTTTAGCAAGCGAGTGGGTTTCTCAGAGAAAATTGTTTTGATACACAGATAATGTGGTCTTTCAGTAACGTTCAGGTTTTTTGCTGATTAAATTTCAACAGAGAAAACTGAAAAAATTCCAATAAAACAGAAAATTCAGGAATGCAATTAATAAAATAGAGAAAAGGAAGATCTTGAGATTAATAATTTCAGTTATCACTGTAGAGAAAATCATATGAAGCAGAAAAATGTTTATTAGGAAATTTGCTAGAATGATTTAATCTTTTTTACTGAGTATGTCAATACAGCACAGTGATGCTCAAAGATGCACGTCTAATGAAGGAGGGATCAGAGAAAAATCTTAGTATTATGGATTGGGTAACAATTTGCCTTTGACAAAGTTCACCTGTATCTATGCAAACCTTTCCCAAAGGTGTCTATTACATGCTTGACTGGTCCTTTTGTAAACACAGGAACATACATAAGGTCATTTTTGGTATGACATGCTAATCTTAACAAACAAATCTAATCCATCATTTCATATTGAGTATTCAGTTTAGCAGCAAAGTAATAAAATGTTCTATAAAGCTACAAAAACCAGTTCAACTTACTGTGCTGTTATGAAAAATTAAAGGGGGAAAAAAGCAAAGGATGAAGTCACCGTTCCTGGAGCCAGAAGATCAATTTAGTGTATTAATACTAACAGTAAGTTTTGATTTATGTGGAAACATTTGGGTGACTCATTACAATAAACAATGGATGTTAATGTTATAGAAGAAATAATTGACAATCAGAATAAATGTTGTACCTTTGCATGTTGGGATTACTCCACTCCATGTGCCATTGCTAGTACAAGTGCGAATTAAGGAGCTATTTGATTCCATTGTATAACCAGGTTGGCATATGTAAGTAACATTTTGTCCAACAACAAAATCCTCACCATATCTCATGCCATTGGCTGGAACTCCTGGATCTCCACAACTGATAACTGCAAGTAAATAGTTGAGGAAGAGATTTCATAATCTAAATGTGATTTATTTATACGTGAGGGGAAAATATATGGCAAAACATTTAGAGAACATAATACGTCTGTTCAATAGTAGAAGTAATGGACTGTATAATTTTTAACAGTAAAATTTCAAGATTAGATTAAATATTAATAAGAAATTCATAATAAAATGTATCATTATAATCTGAGAATAATGTTAAAATAGGTAAGTTTCTCTCATATCTGATCAATTGGCTCTATCCATTTCTGAAAGAGTTTTGAGTAAAAAATCTTGGAACCCTAGTGGCAATGATAAAAAGCTCTTGTTTTCAGGAAAACAAAATAAAGCAAAACAAAACATCAGGGAAAAAAATCTAGTTCATACAAAATATAGCACCTATGTGTTTTACAGTTAATTTTCTCATAAACTTTACAGTCCCCCTACAGCATTATCATTACTGCTGGATAATAGTGGGAGGCAGTTTCCTGGGCAGAAAGCCACTTCTAACTCATTGCCAAAGCATGACTGATGTGAATGGCACCCTCTCTGTACACTGGTTTCCAAAATGAGAAAACCAACCGAGCCAAATGTTGCAGCCTTTTAAAATATAAAATATATAAGAAAGAGACTTATATATAAGAAAGACTTCTGATCAAGGCCTGTAGTGACAAGACAAGTGGCACTGGTTTTTAACTGAAAGAAGGTAGGTTTAAACTGAACACAATTAAGACATTTTTTATTATGAGGGTGGTGAGACACAAAACAGGTTGCCCAGACAAGTTGTGGATGCCCCATCCCTGGAAGTGTTCAAGGTCAGGCTGGACAGGGCTTTGAGCAACCAGATATAATTGAAGATGTCCCTCCTCTTTGCAAGGGTATTAAACCCTTTAAGGTTCCTTCCAGACCATTCTATGATTTCATGATCAGAGTTATGGTGTTTGCCTTCCTAAGAAACCTTTTCAGTAGATAATCTTCTTCAGGCATGTTTTATAGATCTGGAGATAAAACTGGTAGAAGGAAAGGGGATTGTTAACTCGTGATCTGTTAACTGGTAATTTAGATAGCATTTTCCATTAACTCTTATCTGTTATCTAGATCTCATTATCTATTAATGATTTAAACTTGCTATATTGATGCAAGAGAGAACTTAGCAAGTTAAATATGATGAAGTTCAATATATTTTAAATTTTATATATAGACATGCTAAGGAACTGCAGAATTAAAGTCTCTATAAAGATATAAAGATTGGACACATTTCTGAGAAACCTGCTCTCACTGATCCTGCCATGGGTAGAAGGATTGGTCTACAGAATCTCCAAAGGTGACTGCCGAACTCAGCCTTTCTGTGGTGCTGTAAAATGCCTCTCCATTTCTGGGTATTTTCCTGGTATATTGAGACCGCATCTCGAATATTATGTCCAGTTCTGGGCCGCTCAGTTCAAGAAGGACAGGGAACTGCTGGAGAGAGTCCAGCGTAGGGCTACAAAGATGATCAAGGGAGTGGAGAATCTCCCTTATGAGGAACAGCTGAGGGAGCTGGGTCTCTTTAGTTTGCAGAAGAGGAGACTGAGGGAAGACCTCATACATGTTTATAAATATTTAAAGGGTGAGTGTCACGAGGATGGAGCCAGGCTCTTCTCGGTGACAAACAATGATAGGACAAGGGGTAATGGACACAAGCTGGAACACAGGAGGTTCCACTTAAATTTGAGAAGAAACTTCTTCTCAGTGAGGGTGACAGAGCAGTGGAACAAGCTGCCCAGAGAGGTTGTGGAGTCTCCTTCTCTGGAGACATTCAAAACCCGCCTGGACCCCTTCCTGTGCAACCTCATCTAGGTGTTCCTGCTCCGGCAGGGGGATTGGACTAGATGATCTTTTGAGGTCCCTTCCAATCCCTAACGTTCTGTGATTCTGTGATTCTGTGATTTTAGAGCTACTGCTAGTATTTATATCAGCTTAGATACAAGTTGTAGCATCTAGTAGTACCTCTGCCCTTCCTCTTTAGGAATTAGTTAAAAGTCTGTAATGATCATAAAGGTAGAAATTAGTCAGGCTGACATTCTCAGAGTTTGTACCTTTTTTGATAAGTTTTCCATTCAATCTTTCTTTTCATATTCTGATCACTCCAGGAGATACACATTGAACTAAAACCCCCTAAATAACATTATCACTGGAATAAACTTATAAGGGGATATATTTTAGATGTGTAATCATAACAAAGAGAGAATTGTGTATTAGAGATTTCAATAGATTTGTCATATAACAAAGTTAAAATATGTATTAATTAAGTCAAGAATATTTTGTCCATTACATATAGTCTTCAAAATGCCTCTCCTTCTTTTATTAGGATACTTTCTCTGTTAAAATATTTTCTAGATTTTAAGCAAAAATCTCAAGTTTCTACCTGAGAAGTGTTTTTTGAGAAGACTGTTCTAGCATGTATTTCAGCTAAATGTCATTATAAAACAAAGGAAAAAATATACATGCAGTTACCATCACAAAACATCTTTATCCTTGGTACAATCTATCTGGGTCTCATTATAACTTGGAAAATAATAAATAAACATAAATACTGGGCTCTCTTACAGGTTTTCTGACTGCAGAAGCAGCTGTTCACATCCTTACCATTAAAGATGGATTTAAAAACAACACAAGAGGAGAAGTTTTCTTTATTATCTTATTTTTGGCCTTGATTTGGGTTGCTATAAGTGTGTAAAGTAGCCAACTCTACGAAAAGTAGTTCAAAACTTAAGCAGCAGTTTGTTATACCTCTGATGAGCATATGTTTCCTCAAAATGATAGGTTGTCTGATGTGTCACAAAAGTGTAAAATTTCCATAATTGTTACTATAAGATGAACTAGGACATGTACTGAAAAAGGAACAGATGGGCATGAAACTGAACTGTTGCAAAATGCTTTTTCTGAGTATGAGAGAAGCTAAAATAGCTTCTGTTAGCTGAGTAACCAAAGAAAGTATAAGGTTAATGAAGAGGCCAAACAGAACATGTTATCTCAGAGCAGGAAAACAGTTTTGACCTCGGAGTCACTACAAAAAGAATTCTCAGGATTTGATTTCAATGTTTTTATTTTCTACCTCCTGGAAGACCAGAATATTATACTGCTAAGTTTTCATGATGAAGAAAAGCAATTGCATGAATAATGTCTCAATATGACACATCATAAAACATAAACATGACTGAAAATATACTCTAGAAAAGTATTAAAGTAGGTAGATCATGTAACCATAGAACTCCTTTAAACTGTAACAGCAGTCTACATATTTTACTAAACTGTGTTTGTCTTTAAAAAAACATTCTTAATCTTATTATAGCACTATGCTTTTAAAAGTATTTCATGTACAAAATTATGTATGAAGTAGTACAAGAAAAATCTGAAGACAGTTTATTTGCATCCATCTTCTATATTTTACTTTATTCTCCTTATGAAGAGATAAAAACAAAGACTATTCATTAGACATATGTCTTACTTGTGCAGTTTGGCAAGGATCCAGACCATGTTCCATTGGCAGTGCATTGTCTTACAGATGATCCAGAAAGTATGTATCCTTCCATACACGAATAAATTACTGAATTAGAGAATGTAGTTCCATCAATACGAAATACTTTTCCATTAGCAGTTGTTCCTGGATTACCACATTGCACAGCTGTAAAACAAAATGTTAAATACTTTCAAAATGTAGTAAAGATAATTTTTGAAATAGTAATGTCTAAGGACAATCCTTTTGCCAGCAGTGCTGTGTGGTAGAAATGTATGCTGTTATTCTGAAAAACGTTAAATTTAATCACCTAACTAGCTGTTTGCATTTTTTTTTTTACCTTTTTGTATGCAGGGAACAGCCTATGAATTCAACTTTAAAATGTGCTTTAAAGGAAAGCTAGTTTAGCTGCAAAGACAAACTCCTAATTATAAAAAAATGCCTCATCTACAATTATCACTGTAGATTTAATTTGAATCTATAGTATGTATACATTTATAGCATCACCAAAGTACATTTCCTACCTAATTCAAAGCACAGGATAAAGTCAAACTATTATTTCATAGGCAGATGTAAGCATGATGTTTCCCAATTCTTCAACACTCAACGTTGGAATTTGAATGTCTCTTTCTAATGTGAATACTTACATAAATCTAATCTATATGACCTAAACTAGAACAATACACCCGTGTGTGCATTTTATGGGGGAAAATAACACGAAAAGTTACCTTAAAGTGTAAAAGGGTAATTTATTTCTGTAATAGAGAAGTTGAAAAAAGAACAGCATAAAGTAGAGTTGGGCTAAGCATATGCCTTCCCATACCAACATATAAACACATACATTTACATTGTGTCAGGATGGCAATCATTCAGCAGAAAGGATATTAGAGAACCAACTTTTGAAATAAGTTCTTAAGATGAGATGACTATTTCATAGAGATAACGCAGTCAGCAGTGTTAAAGTGGACAAAAGTAGAGGTTCTCAAATTATTTTCTGCTTTTTAGGAAGCTTTTCTTTGAAGATGAGTCTGTTGAGAGTTTTTTCCTATTTTTGAATGAAGACAATTGAGGTAATAAATGATTTTACATAGGTAACCTGTTAAAGCCTTCTTTTATGATATTACATCTACCTTGAAATATCTAGAATTATTTTTTCCAAATAAATTTGTTTTGGCATTTTGTTTTCTATTGAAAAATAATAATGCCAACAGTATTAATGTAAAATGTTAAATTTGTTTTCTGATCAGTATTTTTAACAAGACAGTTTAAAAAAAAGAGTGGATTTTCCGTGATTTACCTTTGCACTCAGGTTGTCTTCCTGTCCAACTTCCATTTGCCATACATGTTCTTGCTTCTGAGCCATGGAGGATATATCCAATATCACAACTGAAATGTACTGTGCTTTTAATTCTAAAATTGTTTTCTTCTCTAGACCCATGACCTGGGATACCTGGATCACCACAAGAACCAGCAGTATCTCCTAGAATTTAGAGTGCAAAGATTAGAATAAATATGAAATATTTCTATGTATTTAAATTATATGTTTCTATGTATTTAAAAATAAATACATATTTACATTTTTAGAAATAAACATGTATTTCAGTTGGTGTGAGTCGTTGTAATTGCAAAATTAATTGATTCTCAAATACTTTCTTTTTACTTAACATTATTTAAGTACGGAACAGAAATTGTAATTATCTCAAAGATTCCCCTTAGACCATGCTAAATTTCTGGTGACAGAACCATCAAACAAGATTAGAGAAAGAAAAAGAAAGCCACAAAGTCTTTGTCATTTTTCATTTCAAATAAGGAATTCTGAGGAAAACCAAGGTCCTGATCATAATGTTCTTGTTTGTCTATAAGAAGTGTTCATAAAACACTTCCTACTTTTAGGACATCATTAGAATTATAGCAGTTTTGCCATTGAATGGAAGCTCTAGTCAACAATTTTATAGAGATCTGACATGGAGCATTTCTCTGATTTATAGAAATACTGAAAGTTCATTTCAAGACCGCCTGATAGCTAAAATCTCCCTCAGCTAGAAAAGTTTAAGCAAATTCTAAGATAGAGGGTTCATGTCTTCTACTATCTCTTATATAACAATGTTAAAATAATCTACATAGGTGTCATAATATAATAATGACAATATCTAAGATTATACATTTAAATTTTCATTTATGATGAGAACATTTAGAAGGCTCTAGGTAACACTATTTGCAAAGGAGTTCAGTTGAACTGTTCAGGAAGTCGGTCAATGAGATCCCTTGGGAGACAGTCCTTGGGGGCAAGGGTGCCCAAGAGGGCTGGGAGGTCCTCAAGAAGGTAATCTTGACAGGGCAAGAATGAGCTGTCCCTGTGTGCCGGAAATCGAGTCGGTGGGGAAAGAACCCGGCTTGGTTAAACAGCGATATACGGGTGCATATTAAGAGAAAGAAGGAAGCCTACAGATCTTGGAAGAAGGGGTAGAAAATTTTAAAAAACTACAAGGATGAAGTGAAA